AAAAAAAAAAAAAAAAAAAAAAAGGACATTATCAAGAAAATGCAAAGAATTCATAGAATGGGAGAAAATATTTTCAAATCATGTATCTCATAAAATGCTTGTATTTTCAGCCAAGTGTGGTGGTCCAAGCCTGTAATCCCAGGACTTGGGAGGTTGAGGTTCAAAGGAAGCCTGGGCTACATAGTGAGACCCTGTCTTAAAAACAAACACAACCCAAGAAGCTTGTATCTAGTATAATTAACTTTTTGTGTTTTGGGGTTTTTTTTGTTTTTGGTATGGGGGATTGAACTCAGGACCTTGCTCTGTGAGGCAGGCGTGGTGCCACTGAGCTAAATCCCTGGCCTATAATTAACTCTTATAGCTCAATAACAAAAAGCATATAATTTAGTTAAAAATTAAAATTATATGAATAGATATTTCTCCAAACAGATACACCAGTGGCTAATAAGCACACAAAAAAACGCTCAATGTTTTTACCCACCTAAAAAACACAAATTGAATCAGAAGGAGATATAACCTCATACCTTTCAGGATTACTATACTAAAAAAGACTTAACAACAAGTGTTGGTGACGATGTGGAGAAATCTGAACCCTTCATACAGGGCTGGTGGGAATATAAAATGATATAGGTGCTTTGAAAAGTAATCTGGTAGTTCCTCAAAGGATAAAACAGAGAAAGTTACCAAGACCGAGCAATTCCACCCACAGGTGAAATGAATACTTACATCCACGATTTGTTAGTAAAAGTTCACAGCACACTGATCTTTCTAGTCAAAAGGTGGATATAACCAAATGCACATCAACTAATGAATGGATATAAAAATGCTGTACTATCCAAACAATGAAATATTATTCATCCCAAAAAAGAAATCCTAATACAGTCTATAGCAATGATAAACTTTGAAAATACTATGCTATGCAAAAGAAATCAGGTAAAAAAACCCATGACATATGAACTGTCTGGAACTGGCACATACAAAACAGAGAGATTAATTAGAAACGGAGTAGCTGCCAATGGGTTATGTGTTTCTGGGGTGACAAAATGTTCTAGAACAGACTGTGGTGATGGTCACAAGGGTGAATATACTAGCACCCAGTGACTTGTACAGTTTAGTTAATCATCTTGGGGTGGGGCTGGGGAATCAGACCGACTGCCTCACACATGCTAGGTGGGCATTCTACCATTAAACTACAGCAACACCCCAAACTGCAGTTTCAGTGTGTGAACTGTATGAGCATAAGACTATGTGCATTATGTTTTGATGATATTAAGAAAAAAGTCATCAACAGGGAACTTATATAGCCTCCAAATATATTCATAGAAAAGGATAGTATACTTTCCTATCCATTACTTTCATTATCTCTGTATTTCACAGTTGCTCCAAGCTTAAAGTATGCTCATAAGCAAGTGGCTCAATTTTTCTATTTTATTGATTCAGTGACATTCTGAATTCAAAGTCAGATTTATGAATTTGAGGGTTATATTATTAAGAAAGAAACTCAAGAAATCACCCCCTGGCCCCCATACCAGGGGATTAAACCCGGTGCCTTCAAACTGAGCTACGTCCTCAGGCCTTCTTAATTTTACTTGTATTGTTCATTTTTGAGGCAGGGTCTCATTAAGCCTTTGACCAGTCTGGGTTTGAACTTGTAATTCTCCTCCTACCTCAGCCTCCCAGAGTGCTGGGATTATAAGTGTGCACTATAATGCCTGGCTAAGAAATCACTTTATAAGATTCTTGTGCAACTTTGTTTCCTTACTTATTAAGTAAGTGATTGTTCCCGCAGTGGAGGGAATCCAACCCAGGGCCCTGTATATGGAAGGTAAGCATTCTACCCCTGAGTTACATCCATGAACCCTTAATCCACAATAGTAATCCAAGACTGTATGCGCCAGGAATAGTGCTAGACTTCTGTTTAGTTGATTAGAATGTGATATGGTCATGGATTGGTACTATTTTATTCCTTGATTAACTCCTAACTATAATTACTTCTAAAAATATATGCCTCACACAGTAAAACAAGTAAAACATCATTAGTGCCTGAACAAAGAACATACATTCTTTACTGCAACAGAGGATCTCCTCTTTCAGATAAAATTCATCTGTGGAGACCTTTGTTTTGTGGCCTTCATTTCTCGATGAGAAAAGAAACATATCAAGAAATAATGCATAGGGCAGGGGATTTAGCTCAGTGGTTTCACCGCCTGCTGGGCAAGCGCAAGGACCCGAGTTCAATCCCCGGTACCAAAAAAATAGAAATAATGCATAGATTTCCATTACCACAGATCGCTTGGAGGAGATGATTATATGATTTACAGTTGAACCCCAGACTTACACTAACAAGTGTGATCTTAAGCAAGTTTCATTTTATTTTAGGTCTTGATTTTCTGGATCCATAAAATTATAATAATAATTGCCACTTTCATAGGATTGTTATTTGTATATAAAACTGTGTATGGATGCTTATTTGTGAGTATATGTGTGTGTGCGCAACTGTATCAACACATCAACAGGGTAGCAGATACATGAAGCAATCAACCCAGACTGCTGCCTAAACCAGAAAGACAACCTCATAGTACCCGCCTCATTGCTATCGTACCAGTGTTGTTCATTCCACTCGGGTCTCTAACGGGCACTGAAGAGAAGTTATAGATATGAATGAGATAAGGAAAGTCAGTCTGGTAGGAAAGGCAAAGGCGCATAGGAGACCAACTTAGGACTGAGGGAAACTGATGTTTTAGTAAGATTAGATGGAAAAATAATGCATACTTTGGTGGGAAGAAAACAATTTTTCAGGTTTAATAAGAACTAGTCTTAAATCCCTCAATCACTCCAAACAGTTTAATTTGTAAAACAGGAATCACATAGCACATATCAAAGAGTTGCTATAAGTATTAAAGTAACATGTGTCAAACACTCATACACTACTTCCCTTTTCATATGAACTCAATAAACACCAACCATAATGATGAAGATGTTGAGGAAGCAGCTCAGGGGACAGTAATTCAGAAGAGCTCACAAAAGCTAGAAGTCTGATTGTACAAAGTTAAGTCACACTTCTCTGAAGATATTATCGAAGGACAATTCAGCACAAGCAACTACAAAAACAAAGTTATTATGTAAAAATATGTACTATCACAACATTGCTACAATGCTACAGTAGGCTCACAGAATGGATGTCTATGATAAGTCTGAATTTTATTAATAAAACTACCAAGGATGTTTGATTGTTTGTTTTTTGGTACCAGGGATCAAACTCTGGACCTTGCGCTTGCGAGGCAGGCACTGGAACCACTGAGCCAAATCCCCAGCCCTAAGGATGTTTGAAATCAAACCATACAAAGAACTTAGAAGACTTTTTCCACCTTCTAAGTATTTAAAACCTGAAGCTCTACTTCTAAGTTGTACAAACACTTAAAACTGTGTGGGTTCATATTCAGCCACGCCCTGTAGGCAATTCCTGTCAGACATTTACCTACAATACAATAAATAAAATTTAATTAAAATGTGTCAGAAAGAAAAGGGCTTGTATTATTAAAAAAAAAAAAATCCTAACTCTCCCCCCAAAAAAACCCCAAAAACAACACTGTGATAATACAACTCATTTCCTCCTATTTACTTTTTCTCATGGTGTCATCTTAAAGAGATAAAAGAATTTTATCCAAAACAACTTGCATTTGAGGTCGTACTCATAACAAAGTATTGCACAATTATTTGAAGGTTTTGTTTTTAAGATATTGCAATAGAATTTTCATTTGCACAT